TTTGATACAATTCTTCCCATAAATGTATTGAACATCATTCTCCAATTAAACTGGATATTATTATGGCATGTGCATATTTAGGTGGTATAGTTACACCATAACAACAAACTTTTTTTTAAATTATCAGTTTCCCACCACCTATTTTTTATAACAAATAATCTGTATAATACCCGGTATAGTACTATTATGTATGGATAGGTCGAACCATGACAAAATAAAAAAAAATAATACTAATAATTTAGTGTGTTAGCAACAATAGGACTTACTTTTGCTCCAGCTGATAGTCTGACACATCCTACTGTACACAGCTCTTGTTAATGTTTGCCTCATTTACTTTGTTAAATTGTCTGACAAAGAGCAAAAGACAATCTCACATTATCTCACCTAAATACCTATATACCATCATGTTATTATATTCTACCAACGAAAAGAGTAAAACTGGGCTTATTGACGGAATGTGAAGCGGTTGGCGAACAGCTGGCTATCACAAAGTTGTGGACATATCTATTTACTCTGTAGTTTGTGGTGAGTCAAATATTATGATTTTCAAGAACTTGAAATTCAAACTTCTTTTATTTCTCAAACTCAAATCCAGTTTTTACTTTAACATTTAAATTCAAATCAGACAATTTGTCAAACTGATAAAGGATGTATGGGAAATACTGGAAATAAAAATAGTATTCTCGGGTGTGGCTATTTATTATTATAAAGGGGGTAAACCACTGGATAAATTTTTGTACACTGGACTTCCAAAAAAATTTTAATTCCTAGACTTCCGTGTAATTTCATGTAATTCCTAAGGCTTCCATTGAATTAATAGTTATTATTTGGACCTCCTATTAATTCATACGACTTTGCTACAATTCCTTAGACTTCCGTGTAACTTATACATTTATAAACTATAGGTACCTAATTAGGAATTATATAAATTATACATGTAACATTACTAAATACTAATTAGTAGGTGATGAATGATAATGACGAGTAATGACTAGAAAACTTAAAAATAATAATACAAAAAGAAAACAATATCTGACAAAAAATTATATACAAACCGTGATTTACAACCTACATCTTATCTCTTTAACATGTTGGTTTAAATTATAAAAATTGTCATCCTTTTTATAATCATAATAGGTCACCAAGTGTTCTTTCCTTACATATTCCTCACAAAAATTAGAAATTCTTTACTCAAGTTTAGTACAATTTTTATTTAAACAAATCAAAATAGGTATGCTTACAATATTTAAGAGACTTGTAGGTACCTACTTATCTACATAAAATTGTACCTATAATTTAAGTAACAATAGCTTAACAAAAATAAAATAATACTTATATAAATATTTATAAACATCACTGTACCTAATTACTTTTACCTCGACTTTTACTTATTAGGTAGACAGTTTTATAATTGATTTTTTATGGCTTTAAATATTTGGACAATTTTGTTCCTATCAAATCTTTTAATCGAAAATGGTCCAATACCAATTAAATATAACAGACCGTAAAGTATATATTTTTTTTTAATAAATGAGATTTCATCGGTTCTAGGCCAAACAAATGTATCAAGAACGGATTTTAAAAATTTTATCTTGCATAGGTCATTTTCAATGTTTAATAACCTACCAATGTACCAATTAATATCATATCTAATGGCATAATAACTTTCAATTTTTAATTGGATTTGTTGTGTATCTTTATCCTCTTCATTGCCGTCATCAGATTGATACGGGCTTATTGGTGGAGTCGATTCTGATTGGATATCACTTCCTTCAGAACTATCTGTGTTGACTTCAATATCTGACTGAGTTGAACATTTTGTTTGATTACATTTTATTTTATTTATTTGTTGAGCACCTTGGTCACAACGAGAGTTAAAAAAACGAAGCAAACGATCACTACTGACTCTTGCCCGGTGTTATTTAAGTAACCAGATTATTGATGATTTTTTTATGACCATTGAATTCTTATTATTTAATAAAACTTGAACACAGGAGGATTTAACAGGAACCTTTTTTGGCATTAATTCATCATCTAGAAATTGGTCACTAAAATCTTTTAGATCTAAAGATAATCCAAAGTTAATTGCTTTTGATATATCACACATGTCTACATTGGATTCTGGTGTCTCATTCTCATTATTTGTAATATTATCATTAATAATTCCATCAACCGTATTTTCAACTTCATTTGAATTTAAGAAGCACTTTGGTTTAAATTTTGCTTTTAATATTGGAATTTGCATCTATATATTATCTGTTTGGATGTCCATACCAAGACTATGAGCCATATTTTTAGTATCTGTTAAACTCTTTTTTACAATGTTTATAATTGTAGTATTGTCCAGACCATTGAAATTTGAAGAATTTAGGTTATTCTTTTGTTTTTGTCTTGTAAATTGTATGCCAGTATCAGATGATTCAAGTTCCGTTTTGATGGTAGTTATAGCTTCAATACGTTTAAGTCTATTAATAATATCTTTCATTGAAAAATTGACAACAGTAGAGTATGTTGAAGTTAAGGATCTTGTAGCTCTGAAAAACTGTTGGCATGTTTGGCTACTAAAATTCCATATTGTAAATAATTCTGCTTTCAAATTCTTATCATCTCGAAACCGAATCACTAAACGAATAAGAGAGTGTGCATTTATTTCAATGCAACTATAACAATTGGTTGAAATAAAGTTTTCACCCAAAGTATATTTAGTTATTTTGAATCCAAACTTTCCAAATTCTTAAAAAAACTTAACCACATTTTATAAATTCTTTCTTCAATTTTTAAATTTTTGTCTAAGTATGCAGTTAAAATATAGTTCATAATTGTCAAAAATGTTATTGTAGTAGACGTGTCAGGAATACTTGGTAACAACTCCAAAACTTTGGTTGAACACATTTTTTCTGCTGATCTAAAGTTCATTTTATCTTCTGGTTTGAGATCAGTTATAGTCAACAAATGCTTGTCCTTAGAATATTGTTTTGTTAGTGAAACTAGATGGGAAACCGATGCAAAATGACTTCCCATGGGAAGAATTATAGATGGCTTTAAAAATCTTGTACGCAGTTTTGTTCCAATATGAACCGTGTCTTGAACATACATTTCATTAAGTGTATTTTCACCTGGAGGTTTACCAATTGCAAACCATGAACAATCTAATTCTGATTTATCATTGACACTATCATCTATTTAATTTATATTATTATTAGCTCGATTATTAGGTTCTGTTGTAGATATGTTGCTAAAACCAATTACCTGCTTTTAATAGCCGAGGATCTTCATCTGAAGAAAATTCTAAAATATCAATTTCTTCTTGGGCTGCTAAAGATTTTATAACTTCCCATCGCTTCATGACATCTTCATAACTAAACCGACTATCTGTTCCATAAATTGATAAACAAAATGATGGAGCAGAATCATCAATAGATTGGCCCATTACAACATATGCATAATTTGCTCGGGCTCCTGAATTAAAATGATTTATTATTAATTTAGCTGATGAGGCAATATATGTATCTGTTTGAGGACATCCATTTTTCAAAGGAAGTACAAATCCAACTAACTTGTTTGAATTTTCTTCGTACTCAATTTTTCCTGTGATTCGTGTACCATCTTCACTTATCCAAACTTGGAGAGGTTTTTTTTTTTGAATTAAAAATAATCTCAGTTCTTTAAATCTAAATGCCCCTTCTACAATTTTATTTTGGGTTTGTACCTAAAAATTGTTGTCATAGAAGGTAAAACATTTTTCATGTTACAATAAAGTGTTTCATATAACAATCTTCCTTCCACCAATTATAAATAAGTAAACTGAAAACTTTTTTACTTTTTCATAAAATCTATTATGGTATTGGGATTTTTTATAAGAAACACTTTGATTTTTTAGAGCTGATTCGTACAGACATTTTAGTAATCCATTTGTATTAAAAATAGTGGGGACATTTTGCTTGGCCGATGAGTTTTCAAGAACATAGGTATCATTTTCAAGCAATAATGTTTGTAGATTTTCATTTTCATTAAGTAATTTTAGGACTCCATCAATAATAGGGAAAAAATTTGTAATAACCGGTTGTTTATGTTTATCTGTGATTAAATTTCTTTCTCTTTGTCGCTTTGAACGTGAACTATTTTACCGATTTCCATTTTGATGAAAATGATTCAGTTGATGTTGAAGAAGGCAATTGATTAATTGAGCAGGTGTTATTTGCCTCAATAATAACCTCGATAATAACCCTGCAGTCATCAAAATCCTGATAATTGTCTTCTATTAGCTTTTCTGCTGGAAAATGTTTTGATGAATAATCAGACTCAATATTTGTATTCTCGTGTTCATTTGATTTCATTATACATTTATTCGATTCAACAAAATTATCTAACGTTCCATTCTTCAGTCCCAATTTTTTGGAATCTTTTAATTTGTTTTCTTTTTTTGATATATGAGTTTTTATGTGTTTATAATAATTAGAATACACCCACCTTTTATTTGTATGTCCTGTGCTACTTAATTTATGTATATACAATGGTAGATTACATAAAAAGCAATAAACCTTTGCTTTAAGGTTGTTATTTATTATACTTTGTGTATTTTCTATTGTATTATCTGTATCCTGATGATGGCCAACTAATTGTATAGAAATCTCAATATCTTCATTATTATACATATCTGATACATTACTTAGAATCCAATTCTTGATTTTTTCAACTACAAATAGCTTTTCTTCGTTCAAATCAATATTTACTGTTTCTATGCATAGCCTTTTAGATATTGGTTCAACACACTTCTCTGTAGGTTCTGGTTAAATAACTGAAGTTGATGCACTGCTTCTTTGTGATGACTTTGGCATCAACTTTTTTGTTTTTGTAAATATATTAACAGATTTATCTTGTTTCAATTGATCACTATAAAAACTAGATACACACAAAATTTGTTTTTTTAATCCTGTCAAGATTTTGAATTTATCAATATTATTTTTAAATATCCCATAGTACTGAGGGTATTCGGTTTTTTATATAAGATCCGGAAGTAATTCTCTTGCAAATGTTTCGGTATCTAATATTTCAGTTTCTTCCAATTTGGAAAGTATATATTTATTGTTGAATCCATTGAAAATGAAAATTTTTTTTAGCCCTTCAGGTAATTTTATTTTCAAACATTGTTCAGCCTCTTCAAAAGGATCATGGAGATCAAAATCTTCCGTTTTGTTAGAATCAATATTATTATTTTCAGTTATATTGTCCATAATAAAAACATAAATTCATAAACTTATCCAGTTAGATTTTAAATTCTGAAAAAAATAAGCATCATAATTTAGTTGCTTGTGCAATATAATAACCTATAATTTTAAAATGTAATATAATATTTAAATATTAGGTAGGTACCTAATATAGTAGAATTTAACAAATTGAAAAAGTATCAATATAGTTAGTCTTGATACAGTACTTAATTGTTATAATTATTTTATTTTATTTTATTTTGTTGTAAATTAGAAATAACAATTTATTGTTAATTATATATATATGTTAAATTTATGAACTTTAATTTAATTGAACCAGACCAGGGGTGCAAAATCTTGAACATAATATACTGGACAGTGGTGCCGAGCTCTAAAAAAAGTACTATTGTCAAATTTCATATTGAGTATTGATTATGTTGTACGTTCATAGTTTTATACAATTATTATTCCTATTACCTTATATTCTTATATACTACCCGAGTACCCAATTACCCGAGGCCAGCACCGGCAGATAATGACAGTTAGGGGCCAAACCCCTGGGACCACCCACCCATTTAAGCTATTGTTTTAACAACACTTGTTAGGGGGGTTTGGCTCCACTGATACTGGATATACCAATTATATTATAATTTGTGTGTGTTACCCTTATTATTAATAAATTACATTTAATTTAGACTATCAGCAAAATAGTTATACTACTGTTTATACTATTTATGGATTTTAATGTAATTTGTTATTTGGTTTTATAAAATTGAAAATGTTTGTAAATCAAAACTGTTGCTTATCAAAAGCAGCTAAAGTAAATTGTAAGCCACACAACTATCATCTATCCAACTTGAAGACGAATATATTTTCAAAAAAAAAAAAATTTACAAGGTATAGGAAATATTGGGGGAAATATATTAAATGGCCAGGAGCGCTAATGAACCTTGCTACGGTTCTGATAATATGACTCATTGTATTAGTTAAAAAATAAAAACACCAAATTAACCATAGTAATGAAAGGTAATTGTAAGAATAATAAAAAGAATAAATTCAATGAAATATGTTTAACTTTTATTATCAGTGGCATGCTTAGAATTAATGTCCATATTAATAAATTGTTAAGAGAATGCTACACTCTCACTGTTATGTTTAATATTATCAAATTTTCAAGTAGCAATATAAAACAATATAGGTACCCTAGTGAATATCATTGGTTTTTTTTTAATATTTCAATTTTATAGCTAGTTATAAATTGCATGTACATTTTAAAATAAACATAACTCCTATTTAACCAATGAATCACTCAGAATGTACATTTTGCTTTGTTATGCTATGTTATGTTATGTTACGCATGCTGGTATAGAGTCCTCATAAGTTAAAAATATATCACTTCAAATTAAATTTACATAACAATTATTAATGATTCACCCTTGATTTTATTTTCATTGTACCTACATTTGAATTAATTAATATAGTTGAGTATATATGTATTATATAGTAAATGTATTATGAGTTAAAAATCATACTCATTTTTTAATTAGATAGTTACAAGGTAGTTATCGCATATTAGTACAATTAATATATCTTCTTAAAAGTTAAAACCATGTTTTAAACTAAAACTGTATTACAGCTTGTCTAAAGCAAAATGTCATTTTAGCATCGTTCTAATAAAATCAATACATTTTTTTTCTATAGGTACCTACCTACATTAATTTCTTTAACAATTAGTACTCTTATTAGTGCCAGAGGCGGATTTAAGAATTTTTACGCCCGGGGAAAATATTAAAATTAAGCCCAATCATAGACCAAGATTGAAAATACAATATCATTCCCTACAATTGTTTTATCATAACTGGAACTAAAATTACAAACATACTTATTAACTTTTAAACACATAATAATATATAGTAATTAATATATTCTGTGGACTGTGGTGTAACCAAGTTTATACTAATAAACTATCACACCAAAAACACTTTAAATTTAAAAACTTAGTTGACATATTGTTGATACATTTTTAATTACTGGAATTACTGTAGTGGTTACTTAATTGTATTTATTATTAGAAATAATAATAATATTAGTTATATATAAATGTTGAAAAATAATCAAAACTTTAATTACCTACTTATCCTGTATAAAAATTATAAACCCTTTTGCTGTTTTGGTTCTATGCGCCTCAGCCTTCAATTATAATAGATTGTTATGGTAAAATATAAAATCTTTTATTCTGATTAGGGTACACAATTTAGGTCAGTAAAAAATTGTATTTAATTAAACAATTTATAATAGAAAAAATGAAAAAGTAAATATTTAAAATCAAATCTTTTTTTTTAAACATAAACAAATGTATAACTATCTTGGTAAATATTATAATATATAATATTATAAACTATATATTAACATCATTTTTAATATACAGATATAATATACGTATCGTACGTTGATTGATAATCTTATAACAGTTATTGTGTAGGTATCAGAAATTTTAACGAAAACACAGCATCAATAAATGCCTAGGTATAGTTACTAGTTACATTTTCACTCAGAATCTTAATAATTATAGTATATTAGTTGTATATGCTTGCAGTAGGTATGCTAATGCCAGTTTACCATTATATACTTAGTATACTAATACGAATCTATTCATAATACCATTAACTTTATTTTTTTTTTTCATTAATTCCAACGTCATCACTACAACATCATAAACAAATAATGTGAAATAAAAATGTTTTCTTAACTTCTATCACCAAGCATTAAATAAAGAACTAAAGAAAAATTACGCCAACTAAAATTTTACGCCCGGGGATCAATCCCCGGTTTCACCCCCCTAGTTCCGCCACTGATTAGTGCCAATACCCTTGATAATACCATTCATTTTAAATACATAATAATATTTAATAATTTAAAGCACATAATTACATACAATTGTTTATAGTTTTGAGCCTAAAAACTTATGAGCTTTAACTCTTAGATATAATATAATTTTAATTATGAACGTTAATTTCTTGTAAAAAATAATAAGTATTTAGGTACTTACCTAGTAATTTGTATAAGATGTAAGCAAGAATGTAAAATCAGGAAATAGAAAATATTGTTGTAGTAAAATTAACACATACGTAAGATGTAACAGATTTGTATACTTCACTATCATCTATGTAATAGATTGTTGCAAAATAAATAAAAAAATACTGATGCTAATACCATACACAAAAAGATAAGAAATCTTAAAATATCGACATAAAAATAATATTCACACCATCGCCTGTCCATCCTTCATCAGATCTTATCAAATAACCATAAACTTAAAGACCTTCTTTAAGTCTATGCAAATAACATGGAGACTTTTTTTTTATCACATTCTATTATCAGAACACTATATCATGTACACGTAAATTAATAATTTCAAATATTTAATTTAAGATTTATAAGCAACTCCCAAGACTTCCAAAAAATTCCTCATAATTCCTGGGACTTCCACGTAATTCCCAGAACTTTTTTGTAATTCCCATTACTCCTTGTAATTCCCAAGAATTCCTTGTAATTTCCAGGACTTCCATGTATATCCAGAGAATTCTTTGTAATTCTTACACTTTTGTACACCTAATTCCCAACAGTGGTTTACCCCCTTTTATTATATTAGTATTTTAACTTGATTTTTCTTAAACTGTTCAAAATGTTAAGTTTGAAGAACCTATTGAATTTTGAGCATTAATTTCCAGTAAACTTCAAAATTGTTTTAATTTCTCAAAGTTGGGATAGAGTTACAGATTATATTTTACATCATTTTTATTTAATTTAAGTTTAAATATAAGTTTTATATAATCTGTGCTATTATGTAACTAATAATATTTTAGCTATATTTTTTTTCTATTTGATTTTGAATTAGTGTTTGTATTTTTTACTTTTTCAACATGTTTGTTTGAATATTTTATATTTTTCAAGTGTATCTATATTTTATCAGTTTTGATTTTTAATTCCAAACCCCTAGTATGGAGTAATATAAATTAAATTTTTTGGCTTGTATGCCTTTATTAATTTTATTATGGGTTATAGTTTCCTGCACCAACAAATTAATTTTCAAATATATATTTATCTTTTATAACTTAAAAAAAAAATATTAATTAATCGGGTTTTATTCTAGGTATCCACAATGGATAAATCAAAGGGGAAGAAATCTGCTGGTTTAGAAGTAATTATTAGATTTTTATATATTAACACGTTGACCTCCGCATGTATATTTCTATTCTGGTGCCATAAGCCGCAAATCTGCTGATAACATACAAAGGACAATAAAAGCAATAAAAGTAAATGAAAAAAGGCAGGAAACAGAAATCAACTGCAAAGAATTTTTTTTTAAAATAATATAGTGATGCCTCTATAGCCGAATTATTTTTAAGCGAATTTTCAATATGCACTAGTGAGCGGGTCAGCGGCGGCGTAGAACGTGTTTAATAAAAATTATATTTACTAATTCTATGCTATATTTATTTTAAAATAATATGATACATTGGTAAATAACTACTTTATCAAGCGACTTTTTTGCAAACAATCAATGTATGCTGAAAACGATGATGAAATCAGAATTTTGTAGAAACATATTAATAAACAACTGCTGATTATAACAGCATAATTTAATCAGTTGGTAATATAGTATTAACTTGACTGCTGTTATAATTGATGACTATATGTTTAATTATAAACATTTTATTTTTACCTTAGATTTTGTATTAACATTTCATGTTTCACATTTCATACAATATTATAAAACATTTGGTTTTAATTTTTAAATATAATAAAACACTAGTTAATTTCTATACAGTTATACATTTTATTTTATTTTTTTTAAATTTCAATATTTGTTTTAATGCATTGTTTAAGAATATATGGATGATTATTTCTATGTTTTTATCACTGACCACCTATCTCATTAACTGTAATGACTATAGACATATATAATTACTAGATAGCCGACTCATGAAAAAAAGTTAGGCTCGGCAGCCGTTTGCATCTAAAAT